GTATCTATTGGTCGCTTATATGTCTTATTTTGAAAAGTGTCTATTCACGTTCTTTGTCCACTTCCTAATTGGGCTGTTTGTTTTCTTTCCTTTCACTTCATTTGAGTTCATTGTAGATCCTAGAAGTTAGGCCTTTGTCAGATATATAATTCGCAAATGTTTTTTCCCGTTCTGTGGGCTGTCTCCTTATTCTCTTGACAGTTTCTTTGGCTGTGCAAAAGCTTTTCTGTTTGATGAGGATGAACAAATGTTTATTAAGTACCATTTGCCTGGCACCGGGCTAAGCATTTTTCATGTACCCCTTCATTCAGTGCTCACAATATTCCCATGAGGTAGGACTATTATTATCCCCATTTTACAGGTGAGCAAATGGAACATGTTAGCCTAGACACAGCATTTTCTTTGAAAAAGTTTCTTTCTAGACATCAATGAATGACTCAAGTTCAGAGAAACCTATAACTAAAAGAAAGAGGAATTGATTTTGCTGCCAGTCTTTAGTAAAAATACAGAAGTGAATAGCTCAGTACAGGTCAAAGAATAAAAAACACTCAAAGAAAGAACAATTACAACTAAAAAGGGTGAAAAGCCCTCTCATCCTGAACAAAATCTAGAATCCCACACTTGTGTGTAATGGAACTTTACTCAATATGAATTCATCCACCTTTGCAAGGGCTAATACACTCAACACTCTACAAACCATCAGGAAGGCCAATAATAATATTTAGATAGTTGAGAATATTCATTAACATAAGATCATTTTATATTCTAATACACTAGATTTTCATTTTCAACATAAGAATGTATACTTTATACATTATGATTTACAATGAATATTGCTGTTATTCATTTATTCAGCACTTCCTTTGTGGTCAACACTGGGAAGGTTTATACATACCTTTTTTTCTCTTAATTGTCATAACCTTAGGACAGAAGAACTATTATTAACAGCTTCTTTGAGAAATTGGGTTGCAGGTGATGAATTTTCCCAAGCTCCCTATTAAAAGGTAAAACCAAGATTCAAATCTAGATCTGGCCCAGGGCCCTGCACTGCTAACCACTAAGCTCATAAAGTTATTTGATTTGTTCTTGCTGTTTGTTAGCCTTGATCAAGCATTAGCTAGAAAACTCTATTCATTTAAGCTTCACCCTCTACTTATCCAGTAAACCTCCATTTTATATACTTTTGCTTCATTTCTTCCTATTCCCACAAAAAAGTCTAAGAAATTACCTATTCACTAACATAAAAAAAAAAAATTCACTAAAGGTTGCTGAATTTAAATGATAGCATAATTGCTGCTTGTACTTTATCAATGAGATATATTAACTCCTGTTTCAGTGGCTAGTTCTGCTACTCAGGCAAGCAGCAGTGAATGATCCCAGATCTGCCTATCATTGTAAAAATGCAACATGATTCTTAAAATCTTTGGCAGCAGTCTTATAAAAGTCCAGCAGATGTCAATCTCTATTCATGAAAATAAGCCACTCGCCGCCCCCCCCCCCCCCCCAAGCCTCTCAGTACTCTGGCAAACAGTAAGACCTATCTCTCTCTTGACACAATTATTTGCTACTTTCTCCAGGACTTTCTGCTGTAACACTCTCTTTCCTCTTTACCTATCATAACTCACATATCATTAATTTAAATGAATCAACACTATCATCTCACATGAAGCATGAAATCTGAATTTTGAAGAGCAGTATTTTAAAAATTAAAAATTAGTTTTCTTTATCATTAAAAATGCTGTCCATGGTATTCATTCCAAGGCTAACTATACAGTTCAAAAATAAATTCCCATTTACAAAACCACAAACTAATGAAATCAATAATCTCAATTTAGATTAAAACAAAAATGCCAAATACTCTGCATGGCTGCTCTGAAGTAGTGACTAGACCAAAAAAACTAGTGATATTTCTCTACATTTTCAGCCTGGTGGATTTTATGCACATCAATTCTTTTAGAATTCAGTGATCATTCTTTGGCTACTATCCTATTGCCTATATTTTAACCTCACTGAATTTTTGGTCCATTGCATAGAAGAATTTCTCTGCTAATAAAAATACACCTCATTAAAGATTAACTTGCCCCCAGGACAGTCTCTCCAGAAACAAATTCCAAGAATTATAATAACCAATTTGCACTTTGAAGACTTAAAGGTAGATAATCTTATTTATCCTGATTTAAGTTGGAAATTGTACATATTTTAAGTCAATTGTAAATAGAAAAATTGCAGGTCCAAATTCATAATAATCAGAAACCCAATTTCACAGACTTTACTTACTAGACACTTTTCAAATAAAATTTTTCCACCAAAGTGTATCTAACAATATTAGAATACTTATTGACTTGCTAGACTTACTACCTTGGTTTCTATCTATTTTATTTCTGCAATTAATAACTTGGAAAATTCTTTTGTTCCCCAACTATATATTGAGTATACACTTGATGTCATAAAATGCAGTAGGAATTGAAAATCTTTTGAATCCATAGTGTAATATTTATTATTAATAATAAATGCAACTGATATTTATAAAGCATTTGTTTACCAAATACTCTGGCAAGTTTTAGCTTATTCGGCATTATCTTTTTCATTCCCACAAAACCCTGAGAGAAAGCTCCTCGTATCAGTCCCATTTTACAAATGTGCAAATCGAAGGCAGAGAGAGGACCAGGAACTTTCCCAAGTTCCAATAGAGTTTTGAACCTAGGTCTGAGTGATTCCCATGCCCACATTTCTGTTTCGGTCAGCAAAAGACCACATAAACCACAGTGGTCCAGAAAGATTGTATGAAGCTGAAAAACTCCTACTGATGTCACAACCATGGTAATATGACATATTACCTTTTCTATGTTTAGACACAGATACCAGATACAACCATTGTGTTACAATTGCCTACAGTATTCAGTGCAGTAACATAGTATGTGGGTTTGTAACCTGGGAGCAACAGCTATAACATATAGCCTAGGTGTGTGGTAGCCTATTCCATCTGGGTTTGTGTAAGTATGCTCTATGATGTTCCCACAATGATGTAAGTGTCTAGTGACACATTTCTCAATGTACCCCAGCCGTTAAGTCACGCGTGACTGTATGTAGGTTGCTGAAGAGATGTTAACTCCGTTAAGACATTTTGTAAAAGAAAATTTTATCACTACAAAGTTATTTTAAGCAGTCTTATGTCAGGATATCAGATTTAGAAAAAGGAGAGCCTTCAAAGTTAAAAAACGCCTCACTCAAATTTCATTTTATTCAAAGTGAAAATGGATTAATTCAAAAAATAAATCCATCCTAAAGCTCAAGTTATACACAAGAACTTCCCACAAGCGAACATCCCTGTTGTTACTTGTCTGTGCACAGGTAAAACAGGTAGGGATGACATAATACAGGTATTATTAGAAGACTGATCTTTCATATCACTCCAATCCTTGTAGAAAACAAGTTGGAAACTTCTTGAAAAGGATGAGTTTGTGCTTTTATCGGTTCAATCCAAACAATCTTACAACATTTTCCTGACATAAATTTAATATTTTGTTTTATTATCAGAAACTAGGTAGATCAGATGAAATAACTAAAATGAGTTACTGAAATGCAACTGGGGCTTTAATTTCCAAATCGGCCTTATAATATTTTTATTTGAACCGTTTGTCACAGAAGTAACTCTCCCTCAAAGTTACATAAATTTCAGGGGAAAAGAGAGGGAAGGAGAGACAGAGACATGATACACATTAGGGATGTTTATCAATAAAAATAAGCAACAAGGGAGACAAGTTTGTAGCACATCCAAAAACGCCTGCCAAACACTCCTGCTATTTGTTTCCACCAAGTTATTGTTTTGGAAAACATGCTGTTCCCTCTTAAAATAACCTGCTTAATTGAACGAAGAAGCCACCGCATTTTCAGAGGACAAAACTGCTCCCATAAGGCGATGCATTGACTGATAAAGTCAAAGTAAGTTATGCATAAAGCCACAAAAGAAAGTTTGAAAAGCTCCAATCCTCCCATGATAAAAAGACACTAGCTACTGAATGAATCCTCACCAGCGCCCTTAGTGAGACTAACGCCTGGTTCTCTACACGTATCCTAAGATTGACAGTCATTCAAACTGCCTTATTTCTCTCTTTGGATGTGGGACATGAGTCCCACTGCTGGCTACAGGTAGGCTAGTAATCAACATTTTTTAAGGAAGGTCAAAATGACCTTGGACGTTTAAGCGTTCACTCCAATCCTCACATTAGAAAGCAGATTTTGTTTCCAGTTCAGTATAACGCTTTTCAAACTAGGAAACTCCCAGAGAAATTAAGGAAGGAGTTAATAAATAATCCCAAATTGTGAAAGGCAAGGTCAGACATCCATAGCACAGGAAGATTTTTATGGACTGAATGTAACTCAAGATGTGTTTTATAAGCCTGTCAGGGGATGAACACACACTGTCCTCAAACACAGCAGCACTGGCCCACACTATCCCACGTTTTGGCTGCTTCCCTCATCCTGGCCCCTCTGACCACAGGGTGGGGGTGAGGGCGGGAGCTCCTGTCTTAAGCCTTGACATCTGCAGAGTATTTCCCAATAGCGAGACAAGGCCCCTCAGCTGGAGGAAGTGGATACTGACAAGGAGAGAGAGTGAAACAGACCGAATTCGAGGCTGCCAAGGAGTGGGAAGAAAGTCACGCATACTTGTGCGGCCTGAACGGATCCGGATGGCACAGCCCAGGTGTCTGGTCGAAAGTTGGCATCTCCAAGTCTAGAACACAACTTGGGCCAGCCAACACAAACTCGGCCTTCGACTTTCCCGAAGCCAGCCAAGTTAGCACAGGGACCCCGGTGCCTGGAGACCTAAGGGGCGTGGAAGGGTGGGGAGTCCCGCGAGGTCTCCACTGCCCGGGTGTCCTCCGTCCCCGCGGGGAAGGGGGCCTGGAGCTGCATCGACCGTGGGCCGGCGGAGCGGGCGCTGGGGCGCGGGGCGGGGATGTCCGGGAGGGAGTCCCAGGACGCGGGGGGATGCCTACCTTGTAACATGGCCTCAAGTTTCTTCCTGTCCACGCGGAAGCGCTCCTCGCTCCACTCGGGGCTGTGCAGGGGCGCCCCGGCGACGAGGTCGTCCTCGGAGCCGGGCACGGGCGAGTCG